GTGTCATGGTGAATCAACCGGTTGAAAGTGAAAGCCCGAGGCGAATTTTCGAAAATTGCCGGACAGCAATTGGCCTCGCCGCCGGCATTCCCGAAATCGCCCGGGAAATCTTTCCGCCGAGTCTCGCTGGAGAGCGCGCGCCGCTCCCCGGCCGAGAACCGTCCCCCGAAGGTGAGCGAAAACGACGCGGATGGGCCAGCCGGGTCACGCCACGACGCACAAAGAGCACACACGTACGCATTTCGTACGCGTACACGTTAGAGAAACGTGCTCTATCTCTCTCTCTCTCTCTCATCCGTACACGCACGTCACGCTGGCCGCGCGAAGAACATAACCTATACGCCGCCAACGGCCGAGCCGGAGGATCGACGCGCCTAGCGACGCGACACGAGGTGAGGCGAGGCTGCGCTAGGCTTAGGCTAGGCCAAGCCGAGCTAACCTAGGCCAGGCTGACTGAGGCACACGCCAGACGGATGGCACGGCGCGAGACGCGGGCGCGGTTTCGGAGCGCCGCGATCGAATGGTCGCCGCGTCATTGACGCGCGACCGACGGCCGCCGTCGGGCTTTCACCAAAGAGCTAGGGAACAACAACGATACCATGTCGGCTCCCAGGTCCTTCATGTCGCAGTAGAGAAACAGATCCCCCGGTGGTTTCATCCAGTCGCCTGTGCTCGCACCCGCCCCCTGGCTGTACCCTATTCCGAAACTCTCCACCGTCTCCAAGGTCGTCGTGACGTCGTCGGCGCGGCGCGTCGTCACCTCCGAGAGACTCACCGTTAACCCCGTGATTCGGCGCGTGTGTGCGACCGGAGGAGCACAGCAACAACAACGACGACGTCGTCGGCGGCGACGACGACAGCGGCGACACGCGGCAACACTTTTTTCTCCTCTTCCTCCTCACACGCGCACTGTTATACCCGGCGAATCGGTGGCCGGCAATCGATGGGGATACGACGGCGGTGGCGGTGGTGGTGGCGGCGGCGGCAACCCCCGTCGCGGCGCGCTGAAGGCGGCGGCGGCGATCGTCGACGACGATGACGACGGGCGCACGAACCAACGAAATCGCACAAACACAAGGACGTCGGCGGCGGCGGTGGCGCTACTCCACCCCCGAACGACGTCGTCCCGACTTTTCGACGCGTCTCGTCCCTTTTGTCTCTTGGCCGCGCGGCTTGGCTCGGCGAGGACGACGATGCCCCTCTCTCTTTTCCTTACTTCTCTCTCTTGCTCTTCTCGCTCTCTCTCTCTCTCTCTCCTCACCTTCTTTCTATCTCGTGCAGCAGAGCGGAGAGCCGCGCGCGAATAACGCCGTACTGCCGCGAGCCAAACAATGCAAATCGCGGCGCAAACGCGCGCGCGCACGACACACCGGAGAGCTACAGTGTCACCACCACATCCGACATATATATGTATACAAGTGTATTATACACTGCACACACACACGCGCACACTGGTTCTCTCCTTCTCTCTCTAGCTCGCCGTACCACCACTAGACGACGCGCTCGCTCGCACTCACGCAAGCGCGGTACATATACGTGAATCGGCGAACGGGAGACACACGCGGGGGCGCAGCGGGAGGACGAAGAAGAGGAGCAAGAGACGCGAAAGGCGAAAGGAGAGACGACGAACGGAAGGAAGGTGAGGAGCCGACAGGGGGAGGGGGAGTCGAGAGAGAGAGAGAGGGAAGAAGCACGTTCGCCTGTCAAACGCACCTCGTCGACACTTCCGATACACCTCTCCTGCTCTCCTCGAGCACGCTCTATCCCAGTATTCTACTGCTCTCCTCTTCTGCCACCACCACCACCACTCGCGAGATTACTGTTGCTGCTGCTGCTCTGTGCTACCCACCGCGCACACCGACCGCCTCTCTTCCTCCTTTCTCCTCTCTTTCTCTCTTGCGCGCGGCACCGACGCACACACGCGCACTCCGCGTTTCGTTAGCTCGCTCGCTCGCGCGCGGACACACCGTCGTCGCGCGTTTTATTTACAGAGGGAGCGGAGTCGGTGCGATTCGAATCGCTCTCGCGGCAAGGCAGTCCATCACGTCCGGCCAAACATATCGCGCGGGTCGCGTGTTGGCGCTCTCTCTCTCTCTCTCTCTCTCGGCGGCTCTTTCTCACGGCTTCTCGTCGAGAGCTCGTCGTCGAGTTTCTCGTTCGTTCCCGTCGTCCCTTCTCTCTCCCTCTTTCTCTCGCTCGCTTGCTTTCTTTCTCTCTCTCTCTCTCTCTCTTTCTCGCGCCTCTCGCTACCGCACGCCACGAATTTTCTGTCGTGCACCGGGCTACGCGCTTCGTCCGACGGAGACTGCGCTTCAAACCGAAACAAAGAACGACGCTCCCGAAGGTGGCGCCGCGAGCGGTCCCTTCGCCAAGCTGCCGGCGTGACGCCGCATGCGGGCGCACGACGCTGCCGCTTTTCGGCGATTCGTCAGAAATTCGAAAGCCGGCCTTCTCTGCCCGGCCGCTCCGCCGGGTCTTGCTGATAAAAAAAAAAAAAAAAAGGAGAGAGAGAAAGAAAGGGTAATTACGATTTTCTTAATCTCCGAATTCCACGAAGAATACGACCAAGTGTTCTGACTTATCAGCGTAGTAAGAGTCGTAGATTCTTTTCTCAACTGTCACGGAAAAAATTTTCGCCTCTTATCTCGATTGAGACTTCCTCGACATAGCAGCTTTAATGTAATGCGCCGAATTATGAAACGACCAGTATAGTCGTATCTTCGGGCCAGATAAGAAGATGAGTCACAAGAAAAACTAGACACAATTCAGTCCTGCGCTAACTCACCTGTGTACCGAGTTTCCCAGGAAAACTACCAGGGAATTTTCAACGTGACGAATCGCGAGTGATTGGTCGGGATTTCAGCAAGTTCGTGCATGCAAACATGACCCAAGAAACGAGTCCCGGGCGTTTTTTCATCAGTAGGTTTTCGGCCGTCTACCTGCGTTCAGCTTTCCCAATAAGACCTTGCAATTTCGTCAAAAATTTCGGCAGATCTTTCTAATTAAATTACAATTAAAGAGTCGACAAACGAATCCCGACTTATCACCGTAACAAATAAATCGTACAAAAACATCCTTGATAAAAGCATTCCCAATATATTTGATCGCTCTTGTTATCTCTCTCTCTCTCTCTTCCACTTTTCATTTTAGTTATTCGGAGTCATTAAAAGATCTTCCATCAAGATATCGGTCGCTTCCAAAAAAACACGATTGTAAAACATGATCGTTCACCGGGTCTCAGTGAAATAAAACGAAATCGACATTGCGCAATAAAGAAATCGCCGTCGAGATTTACTACCAATGGGAATATACATATACATATATATATATATATATATATATATATATATATAAAGCCATCGTACGCGTGATGCGAGATTTTTCAGGCATAATTCAATGATGACGTCGCTCACCGCGGATTTATATTTTAAACGCGCGGGGACAGAAATATATTGCCGCCGCGGCAAATAAAATATGAGACGTCCAGTATCGGAAACAACGGATGACTTATTCAGCGGGTTCAAGTCGGTAGTTACCTTCGGCCTCATTATTCAACGATAAAGGGGCCTGAATATTAGGAATTCAGATTGGGAAAACGGTTATCTCCCTTCGTTTAATAAAATCCGATGTTAATGCGTCAGCGGGGATGATTGTTTCATCTATTAATACCACCGTAGTCGTCAATTAGCGTAATAGCGGTACGATTAATATACGTTGCGCGTCGTATTTTCCGGCATTTTAGTAGCCACACATCATCGGCTTAAATTAAGAAAAATATTGCGAATAAAATATTGCGTTCCGCCGACTATCAGGCAATTATATTAATTAGCGAGCGCACAAGGTGTTGCGCGAGTCGTCGCCGCCGTTCGCACTCTTCCCCGGCAAATGCAAAGTCCCTCGACCTCTGACGACAAAAATACTCACACATCCCGTATCTTTAATCATCGTCACGGAGGATTCCCCGATCGGATATAAATCTCCGATAAAAATCGATTTAAGTTCTATTAATATCTCATTGCACTCTTCGGCGAGATTATTCCGAACATGATGGAGCGCGTGTATCTTCAACGCCGCCCTGATAACCAAGAATTGTGATTTCGACTTGCACACTCGAGCGACGAAGATCGTCGTTAGGAGCGACGAGCGAACGAGGAATCGTCCGCCAAACGGCCGCCGAATTATGACCCTGACACGATTTCCAAGGCCGGCGCACCACGAGGCCCCGCACGGCTCTGTATCGGGCCCGTTGTCGATCGTGCGAAAGCACAGAGGTTACCGCAGCGTTCGACCGTCGTACTTTCGGCGCCACGACGAGAGTAAGATTTTCGCACGCAAGTCGGAAGGCGCTACAATAATAACAACAGCAGTAACCTCGCGCGCTCTCCGCGCAGATAATTTCTGGCAAATAAGTCGTAAATTTGAGAACTACGATTACACCAACGTAATCTCCATCACGCTTAACTCTATAGCAAGAATTATATGCGCGTACAGAGCTATTGTCGTTTTTTTTTCTTCTTCTTACCGCACAACGCGTGTCCCGGTGGTCTGAGCGATAACGTTAATGGATAAAAACCTGTAATTTTCTCCGGAATAATCTCATTGAAGAGCGAAGAATCAACACGACGAAGAACCTCGACTGAGGATCCAATCGCAGATTTGAGTTAATGGAGACATTGTTGTTATCATCCGTGGCGCTACAACGCCGAGTGCGACTGAATGGAGACGTTCAATAAGCGACGATCAAAAGTGTGGGAAATATAAATATTTTCGTCGCGAATAATCGGCTCACACTTGTCGGAAATTTCAGCCTGCAGTGTCTCGTGATATAATGCGATAATAATTAATGCCGGTCGGGCCGGTTACAATATGTATCAGGCTTAATTAGGATCATCTCTTATTCGTCGAAAATGTGAGACACACCGCTCATCATACGAAAGTTTCAATTGTCTACGTACGAGACGCAAAACTCACCGGCGCCTTCGTCACACAGAAACACTTACCTGTCCGTTCCTGAATTGTTGTTGTTGCTGCTGCTGCTGTTGCTGTTGCTGCTGCTGCTGTTGGTGATGAAATAGCGCCACTTGCTGTTGAGCGGTCATCTGGTTGTTCAGATAAACCAAGTGCTCCGCACCGGGCGCGCCGCTCTACGAAAACAACACGCGAAGCGTTCAGAGATTGCAAACGGAATATCGTTCACCACTGTGCGGAGTATGAAACATCTACGCGGAATGTATAATCCAAACGGTGATCCGGTGTTTGACTACTCACTTTTAATTGCATGGGATGTATCTCGTACGGTAGATGTACATTATTCATTGCAGTCTGCAGTCCAAGTTGTTGCGACTGACTCTGTTGTGGTACGCTGAGCTTGGTCATAGAATATTTCCATTTCTCTTGATTCTGAAAACGATATTTCCGTTATGATACGTTGCTTGCGCGTTATACTCGTATTATTAACATCGTTTGCTTATTGTATGTTAGATAAAGAAATAAATCGATAAGCACTGCACGTGAAATTGGCCATAATTATGCAAGAATGATCCAACTCGCATGGAGTGTGTCTCGACAAAAATGAAGAAAATTCGATATATGATTTAAAAAGTGTAAACAGAACTGAAATCTTTCACGATCGTTCAAGGAGTCAAGCATAATGGATTTTCGTCTCTTCAAAGATATTCATTGACAAGTTTAACCCTTAAGAAATGGAAATAAAAAATAAAAATGATTTTTAATTAATTTTAGACATTATTTCTCACAAGGCTCGGATCTTTTTGTTTTAGAAAGACGTATAGACTACTTACTGATGACAAAATCTTAAAAATTATAATTTATGGGTTGGATCCTTCTTGCATAACAGTGATATGACCGATTGAAGAAGCAACAAACGAATACATTGCATCGTCACTAAAGGTCAGTTTCACAACGGTTAACTTAACCAGCTGATTATTTCATTGGGATTGACCAATTATATTTGCCGTTAAGCAGAACCGACCAGAAATAATCAATCACGGTTGACAGTTAAAGAGTCGATTAAGTTAACCAGAGGTTAACTGGTCCTAAGTCATACAACTATGCAAAATCTGCTTGCTGCAGCTGCGTTTTCTCACAAACCCTGTGACTAAAACAAAATAGATGTGGATTTCGATTCTGAGGCCTAAGAGGGAAGGTCCAAAGTATGAAAAGTGCAGCTGAAAGCAAACAGACTGAAAACTCCATCCGTGTATATAACATACATTATCAACGATAACATCATCTGCCAAGGCCCAGGCTCTCGGGGCTTGCTTCGCTTGGAAAGATGAAGACTGGGTGTTGAACTCGGGCTCTGTAGGTCGTTGGAACACATAACCAACCATGGCGTCGTCCTGAGTTCTACTTACACCCATCTGATGGGTCTGACCAGGTTGAATCCGCATGTTATCACCACCGGCCATAGCTTGTCCACACTGTTCTGCATCCTAATGAACAATACACGCATCTCATTAGACCTACGTTACAACCTGACAATATACAAGTGCTTTCCTCTCACTATATACAGCGCAACATTCCCCAACTCAACGGTGAGAGTGACACTGAAATAAAGGCTAATATCCGGCTCCGTCATTCACGACTGCACCTCCCGAGCTCGCCTCACCGAGACTCCTCGCTTCCCGATCGCAAACAACCAATGAAATCGTCGAGAACACGAAAACTCGTGTGAGCATCATCTATCTCTTCAATTCAGGTTTTCCAACGGCCGCACTACATCACGAGGACACGAGCACTATATCCGCGTCACGTAGCCCGCATCTACGAGACGGACGGAGGACGACGGTCGTTCCTCGGGAGACCCTCCACCGAAACACTCGCGCGCTGACATTCGCGAAATTCGCGGCGTCGAGGTTATGGCGACCGATCGCGCTCGGTGTATAGTCACGCCTGCTTGCGTAGCCGGGCAAGGATAATGACGAGCAGAAGTGCAGTCGGGAATGACGAACGGACGAGAAGAGGCGCGCGTCTACCGTGGGTAGATGGCCGTTGGCGGAGGTGGAGGTGTGATGCAGCTGCATGGAGGATGCCGGCTCGCCCCCGGCGCCTCCGCTGCTCGCGCCGAGCCACTTCATGTCCTCGTGCTGCTGCTGTCAGGCCGTGCCGCTGTCCCGGACACGGCGGACGGACGGCAGAGCTTGCTGCTGAGGCACCCTTGGCGCAACCTCGTGAAGGTTAGCTTCCAAAGCAGGTCGAAGCCGGCGGCGTCTGGCTGCCGAAGAGGAAACTTCTCGCTACGGCCGTTGCGCGAACATGTTCCGCACGCGCGCTGCCGTTAACGGCGGCACATCCTCACCGTTTCCACGACGACGAGGACGAGGACACGAAGACGACGATCACACTGCGGCGGCGACGACGGCGGCGGTGGGTAAGTCGGGGACGACGACGACAGCGACAACGACGAGTCGATGGCGATGACGGGGACGATGACGAGGGCTGCGGCGGCGGCGACGACGGCGGCGACAGCGACGGTAATGACGGCAAACGTCACGCAGATATCACCGAGGGCACTCGGGCGTATTTACCGAGCTGCGAGCGAGAATCAGACAGGTACAGCAATGGCAGCTGTGTGCGGCTCCGGCGCGCTGCTGCCGGATTTTTGACAACACTGTGTGCTCGCTGCCGGACACGAAGGGAGGCGAGAAAGAGAGAGGAGAGCGAGGGGCGAGAGAGAGGGAGGAGAGAGGGAGAGAGAGAGATGAAGAAAGAGCGAAAGAGAGAGAGAACACAAAGGAAACCGTCGTGAGCGGCGGGCGCGCACGATGACCGCAGGATCGCTCGCTCGTTCGCTAGCTCGCTCGCTCGCTCGCTCACTCACTCACTCACTTACTTACTCACTCACTCACTCACTCACTCACTCGCTCGCTCGTTCGTTCGTTCGAGAGAGCGAGGTCCCGGCCGAAAGGACGATATCGTAGCACAGACACGGTGCGCGGACCGACGAACGTACCGATCGACAACACCGCCGCGGATACGCTGGGTTACGCTCGAGAAAAAGACGAGGAAGGAAAGAAAGATGAAACAAGCGAGAAACGACGAGTGCATGCACGGCGGCGCTGAGGGGAAGGGAGAAAGAGGGGGGAGAGAAAGAGAGGGACACCACGAAGGAGGGAGCGAGACCGTGATCGAGAGAGAGAGAAAGAGAAAAGGAACGAGAAAACGAGAGGATAGACAGGCGAAGGAGGAAGAGAGAGGGAGAGAGCAGAGGACAGAAAATGGATGAAATTCGCGAATGTTTGATCGCTCGCTCGGTTTACGCGATAGGATCTTCAGGGCCCTTCGTGACCCCTCTTGGATCACCCTGGTCCCATACGAGACACGCGAACAGCGGATGAATATCCGACACAAACGTGTCTCTCTGTCTCTCTCTCTCTCTCCCTTACCTCTCCTCCCTGTCTCGCCCTTTCTTCTACCTTCACGTCGAATCTCACGTTATTTTCCGTCTCGTGGCGTACAGCTCTCTCCCGCGCCTTCTCCTCAACCGGTCATTTCGTTAAAACTAAGGCTTAAAATACACTATTCACAGGTATGTACAGCCACGCGATGCCACAGACACACCGTGTGCGTCCACCGGCGTACGCGTGTTTCGCGCGCGCGAGGATGCTGCGTGCGCGATTTTCCCGATGAATACGAAAGAGAGAGGGAGGGAGGGAGATCTCTCGGGAAGAAAGGAGAGAGGAGCGTGACTATAGGAGGGGACACAGCCAACCGGCGGGGTGGATGGGGGTGGGCGGCTTTGTGTCATGTTGCGTGTTGGCAGCGTGCTCTCGTGCATATGCGCACGATACGGCGCCGTGTCTCTTACCGATCTCTACATCTTCCTCGAGGGAATTAGCCGCCAAGTTTCGTCCAGTTTACGCCGACCGGCTGTCCCGTTTCTACGCACGCTTCGCAACCGACATAAAAATTCAATTTTCATGCTGAAGCGAGCGGCGAGACCGCGCGCCATCTGTCGTCGTATGGAAGTTCACGTCGTGGGCTGAGAATCGAGGTGGATTTGTTATCTGCACTCCCTGCACTTCAAAGTTCTAGGGAAAGGGGGAGTCGATCGTGAATCTTTTCCTTTAAGGTGAACCGACGAGAATGATGAAAATGAGAATTTTACTATTTGAAAGCATTTGGAAATGTTTACTTCTCACATTTTCACTCTAAGGATAGATTTCGTGTGATCGTCGTTCTGGGTATCGATCATGCAATGACATCAATTTATAACCTTCGGGGAGTAGATGATGAATCTTATCTTCTAACGTGAACTCGTAGAAAGTGTGAATTTTCTAATAATTTGGAAACATTTGGTATTTTCACTTTTCACGTTTCCGTACTAGGGAATAATTTTATTCGGCTAACGCCAATACGATTGGTCAATTTCATTGAGGTAAGGCCAATTCACAATCTCCAGTTAACTTAACTGACCGATTAATATCAGACATGATTGATTATTTCTGGTTAATTCTGCATTATCAATAAATGCGATTGGCGGAGAGAAGAATTTGTTTTTCAATAATTCTCAGGAGTGCGTTCAAAAGTCCCACTCGACAGATAGAGTGGTGTTTATTAACCAATTATGATAAAGAAATCTTTGTTTTTTCTATCAATCAATTAAATACTCAATTAAATACTATTCTTTATTCGTCAAGTACGATTTCTGAACGTCCTCCTAAGAATTATTGAAAAACAAAATTCACCTTTTGGACGCAGGATGCATTCCGAAACTTATAAAAAAAAAGATATTACGTTTTCGTGACTGACCATACTACTATTTTTACTCTTCGATAGGTGGCGACTCGTAGCGGACACTTCGAAACTATAATACCGAGTCGCTTGACCGCTAAAATGCGACTAAACGACCTGTTTAGCCCCATCTAGCGGTGTTACAAACGCATCTGAAGGTTAACCGTAAATCTCCCTCTAACGTAAATAATAAAAAATGAGCATTTTCAAATTTCTCTAAATTGGAAAATTTTCAATTTCCACAAGCTTATATTGAAGAAATAGATCTCTAATCGCTCTTGTTTCCATTGGGAAGTCGTAGTACGACTCAATGACAGATCAGTCGAAGCTACTTTGCAAGTATTGCAGATACTCAATGGTGAATCAGATGGTATTTTTATTTTCAAATTCCACAACCGAAAGCAAATAAAAAGTAACTTTTTTATTTTCAAATTTTATTTTAATACAGCTAAACATTAGATCAAAAGGACCTCCAAAAGATCGTTTCATTCAATAATGGATAAGAAGAATTGATTTTTATTTTTCAATAGAACGAGATCTCGAGCGGCAGATTGTACGAAATTTTCTTTCAACCTTACTACACGGTGGTCTTTAACCTGTTTCGTTACGTTCACTCATATATAGAATGCACACATGTCACCTTTGACTAATCATCCTTTCATCCTTCTCTTACAGATATGATAAGGAAAAAGAGAGGTTAACAACTGAGTGTCACCAAAGGAAAGTGTTCCGGAAATCTTGAAAATATGAGTCAGTTCGTGGGAAAACAGGTGTGAACGTGAAAGAGCGATACTGCGTGGCCCCGTCACGGCCAGATGCCTGTAAAAGTCAATACAAGAAAAATCCAGTAAAGCGAGATCTCGCTCGCTCTCTCCGGCTCTGCCTCCGATGTGTGTGCGTGTGCGTCGAGGCATACTAGTGCGTTCACCGACGTCGTTATTAATAACCGGCGCTGGTAACGCGCAGTGGTTGGCTCTCCTACGCCTAGTACTTGACTTCTGTCCTGTCGCTCGAGTACCAACGGGATGGGAACAATCAAGTCAATAACGTATGTCGCGACCGACGGTACGTCTCGATTCCATCCCGTGCTTCGATGACTGAGTGCTCGTGAAAAGCGCGATAACGCGCGGACAGATGACAGATAACCGTCGTGCCATCGCCGTCGTCTTTCGTAAGTCAGCGAGATTGGTCCCGCGAATTGCGAACGCGACTCCGATTGATATCGGGGATACCGAGACCGGTGATAAAACCATAGGGTTCGAAATCGCGTGAGGTAAACACGCGATTATCGTCCTTAAGAACTTCGAGCGCAAGCGATTAACTGACTCGGCTGTCACGATTGAAGTACTTTCTCGCGTATCTAATGGCAAAATTCGAATCGTCGACGGGATTAAAGCAAGGTTGCACCGGTCTCGATCCTCCCGACGAGGTTTTCGTTCGCGGAAGCGATGTCGGAGTGCGTTTTCGCGACCGGTCAACGCTGATTTCATCCCCCGTCGGTGGGTCTAGCACGCGCGTAACACACGATCGGTTACGCGTGTCGGCCTCGGTACGCCTGAGAACACACACTCAGGTGTGATGTGCACCGCGATGTACAGGTTAGAGAAATCGCGACACGGTCACGCGAATCTAAAAGCGGAAGTAATTAACGTTGTCACGTCGCTGCGTCGCTCGTCGCGTCAATTTTGCCTCGTTTGTCTTCTTATTACCTGATAATCGCCGCATCAATAGTTCCAACGTAATATTGTGTAGATGACGCGGGATTGTTTCCCATCCGATAAAAATGATCTCGTGCGTTGGTCATGTTGAGAATCATATTTCTCTATCGTTACGTCCCGGTTGATGTTTACGTTATCGCTCGTTTTCGCCGCCCAAGTTCAATGAATTTAACCTTCACACGTGACTCAAGATAACGTGTAAGAATCTAATATAGATTAGAGGAAGTACGTGAGGATATTTCGCACGTGTAAGATGAGAATTATATGCCTTCTTTCCCTGCAATTGAATTTTCAGGTGTCGTAATGTGACACATCACAAGCTAGAGTACTATTCGCTTCAAAGTGAAAATGGCAGCTATTTGTTCGGGACGTCTTGGTTGGCTGGGGAAGATCGTGATAGCATTGCTGGTCACATGGCTGATTGCGCTGATCATATCCATCTCCCACATATTCAAATCAAACATCTCGTCCAGCCAAGATGCTAATACTGCCAACAAGGTGAACACGCAGCGCCTAGCCAAGATGGTCAATGACTTTGAAATTCTAAAGAAACAAAACGACGCCCTGAAGAACTTTATATTGGGGTAGGTTCGTACGTGCCGAGATAATGGACAGAAAGCGGAACAGACTCGGATAACATCGAAATTCGAAGCTCAAGGCACAGAGCGTCGCGACCTTTTCGTTGTACAGGCTAACGTAATTTCCAGAGAAGGCTCGAAAGCTATGCAGGGCGATCATCTGGGCTCCATACAGGACAGACTGGAGAAAGCGTCGGCTTACTATGACCTGGCGGAGCAGCCGGACAGACCAAAACACGGGGTACCTTCTCTAGAATACGAGGAACTGCGACGACGATTGAGAAATGATATCCAGGAGATGTGGTGAGTGCGAGTCGATAATAAGCGAAACTTGGCTGCTTGGAAACGCGAAAAATCACATGCTCAGTCCCATGCTGCAGGTATTACATCGGAGCAGAACTGAACAAATTCAAAAAGCACGTGGACGACTTCACGCATGATCAGAAAGAGAAAGAAAAGGATATACAGGATGTGACGAAAAATATATGGGAGCACAAAAAGTCGCTCATAATGAATGTCGACAGACTGACGAAGGCAGATGGTTATAACGAATGGCGAGAGAAAGAGGCGAGAGATTTGTCTGATCTTGTTCAGAGAAGATTTAGGTAACGCAACTTATCTTTACGTCCCCTGTAGCATCGAAGTTTTTATATACGTTAATGCTCTAACGAGTCTTGTATTTTTCTTTAAAGATATCTGCAAAATCCTGCCGATTGTAATAAAGCGAAAAAGTTGGTATGTAGCCTAAACAAAGGATGTGGGTTCGGCTGTCAGGTGAGAAATGTTCAACCACATATAATTGTAATATATAGTACAATGTACTATGATAATTAGATGTAATATGATATATAGTTTTAAATATAACTATATAACTACATGGTTGGGTAATAACTTGCTAATTCAGTTAAAAGTTAGGAAGTTAATAACTTTCAGTTTGGTTAAGTTTAAGCGAGTTCACTTTTAACTTAAACTTAGTCACTTTTTATATATTAGCTGTAACTTATTTACTTTTTTTTTAGTTCAGTTAAGATATTCCATATATAGCTTTGCACAATTAACTTTTTATTTTAATACAGTTAATTTCATTTTAACTTAATCAAAAAAACCAACTTATCCAACTCTGATATATAATATGATATATCTCTCTCTCTCTCGCTCTAAATGATCTTTTGAATAAAGCATACGTTTCCTTGCAGCTCCATCACATCACGTACTGTTTCATGGTGGCTTACGGTACGGAGAGGACGTTGATAATCAAGTCGAGGGGCTGGAGGTACCACAAGGACGGCTGGGAGTCCGTGTTCAAGCCGCTCAGCGACACTTGCATGTCTACAAGCGGTGTTTCACATTCCAACTGGCCTGGCGACCCCACGAAACAAGTGATATCCTTGCCGATTGTGGACAACGTGTATCCTAAACCGAAGTACCAGGCGCCCAGCGTGCCCGCGGACCTGGCAGCCAGATTAGAGAAGATTCACGGCCACCCGTTGGTCTGGTGGGTTGGCCAAGTGTTGAAATACCTGATGCGACCTCAGGATCACGTGAGGAGGACACTGGACAAGGCGAAGGAAAGACTCGGCTTCAAGAAGCCCATCGTCGGCGTGCACGTGCGCAGAACCGACAAGGTGGGCACCGAGGCAGCTTACCATGACATAGATGAATACATGACAAAGGTGGAGCAGTATTTTGACGAACTTGAGACTAAGCCGGACGTGAGAAGAGTCTTCATAGCGAGCGACGATCCGAAGGTGATCACAACAGCCAGGAAGAATTACCCGAATTACGAGATAATAGGCGACCCGGAGATCGCCGAGACCGCGTCCGTGGCGAAGCGGTATTCGGACAGCTCGCTGCAGGGGATCATAATCGACATACACTTGCTGTCGGAGTGCGATTACCTGGTGTGCACCTTCAGCTCGCAGGTGTGCCGCGTCGCGTACGAACTGATGCAGACCTTCTACGCGGACGCGTATAACAAGTTCACGTCCCTCGATGACATATATTATTACGGCGGGCAGAATCCGCATCCCCACGTGGCCATCATGGATCACAAGCCGCGGAAGAACGGCGAGCTCGAGCTGAAGGCCGGGGATCTGATCGAGGTGTACGGCAATCACTGGGACGGTTTCTCCAAAGGGTACAACAGCAGGACCAGCATGACAGGACTGTTTCCTAGCTTTAAGGTGAAGAATCGCGTAGCCGTCGTAGACTTCCCCAAGTACCCGGGCGTACCGCTGCTGGAGAACAAAGCCGAGTAGAAGCCGACCGGTCACCGCGCATGCGGACACTTGTATGTTCCGGAGATCGTATTCCAGAGGCACCAATGAGAGAACGGCTCGATGTATTTTGCTATACCTGTATAAAACTACGACTGTCACAACGCGTCTGAATTCTCACGACTGCCCCC